ATATTGCTTTGAATTTACTCAACTCAGTTAAGTGGAACCAGGTCACATAACATGGTTAAGTAAATCCAACATTTCATTTTTTACAGTGTTTATTGATAAAACTCAAAGCTAAAARGCTGACATGGCAGCAAACAAACCTCCTTTCAGAGCAGACTTACTGCTAACAGATGACAAAAATATTGCCAGATCACTGAAACAAAGCACAAACCAGGAATTTAAAGTAAAACTAAAGAACTGAAACCAATGACACCTGTGTAGGGACAACCAGGATTAGGTGCAGGTGGGTGTGGCATAAACAGAATAGAGGACAGACTATCCAGAATTACACAAAGCAGAAAACAAAACCGAATAAGTACTAAACAAAAGCACAAGTCTTGACAAATTTTGAGTGCACTGAAAGTGTTTCAAAAACACTTAAGTATTGTGAAACAGAATATGTGTTTTGAGGGAAGGCCAGAGGGGAAAAACATACTTTACATTCTTTTTACCTGCACATAATGTTGCGTAGTTTTTCCAGGTTGGTTGTGGTGAAGTAGAAATAGTTGCGGTCACAGCGCTGCACATCTTTATCAATTCTGTGGAGGTTGAGGGCAACCGTGTCCAGCAGTTCAATCTGTGGAAAGAAACTAGGGAGATTAGCATTAATAAAAACCAAGTTTCTCCTGTCATCTCAGCACTAATTTTGATTTTATTMTGAGGAAAAAATAAAGCAGCCACTTATTAAAGACAAATGGTGAACTGTTTTAAAATTTGTTTAAGAGGACTTTAACCGGTGAAAACATTATAGTTTGGAAATTACACAATTAGTGTGATTATTTTTCTGTTTTGATTTAGGTTAATCAAACACCATCTACCGTCTACTTTCAAATATAATGGAAAATATTGAAAGAGAGATTAGAAGATATGTGAAATATACACCAAGAAAACACAAGACAACACACCCGACATCTGTCTGCACACCTGCAAAAACGGATAAAACCAAAACACAACAACAAAATATATGTGTATATAATGCATACATACTTACGTACATACATACATACATACATATTTATCTATATCTATCTATCTATCTATCTATCTATC